GCATACAGGATGAAGCCTTGCGGGCGATTCTGAGTTTAACGTTAGACAGCCCGTAGTATGTATGCCATATAACTTTACAGTGCAGACTCACAGCGCTGCAATGTAGGACATACTCAAGAATAGCCGCAGCTTTAAAAACTTTGTTTAAAAAATTTTTTAAAAGAAAGAAAAACAAAACATGCACACACTTATTCTGCACGAAATGCTAAGAATGACAGACTAAATAAATTAGAAAGTTCTTGAATGGCTTAAACAGAAGACATAATTAGACATAAGACGCAATGGAAATTTCAAAAGGAAAATACACAGAGACTATATACTAATATATGTGGACATATGTGGGAGAAAGAACATCGAAGTATGTACACCCGGATATAGTTAAATATATATATTAGACGTCAGTTACCGCTTAGACAGAATAATACATTAAAAATAAAAAGAGTGGAACAAACATAAACATATAAACAACTACATACACTATACAGTGATAATTGTACAGAAGAAAAAGAAAGCATGTGACGACCTGTCTGAAGTCTTCGGAAAGTGGGTGCAGGTAAACAGCACACAGTACGTAATCAGAGACTTCGTTGGGAGGCTGGGTAATAATAAAAGAAAATATTTCTTCTTTTTCAAATCTTTTTTGGAACTTTTAAATAATAACTACGAATTTAATCTGTTACAAAAATTTTAATGGGTATCAATCATTTCTTTGAAACAAATACAAAGGGTTAGTCATTATATTTTTTTTCTCTCGTTTTCCCCCCTCTATTTTTCCCCCCCCCCCCCCCTCACCCCCACCCCACAGCTGCATTAGATTTTAACTGCATACGCCCAGCTCAGCGGTTCTCAACCTGCGGGTCGCGACTCTATTTTGGATCGAACGACCCTTTCACAGGGTTCACATAAGACCATCAGAAAACATACATGAATTGAAGTTATGAAGAAAAATAATTGTTTGTGGGCAACTGTATTAAAGGGTCTCGGCATTAGGAAGATGGAGAGCCTGTTCACTAACTGCACCTGAGACTGCTGGAGCTTGAGCCATTCTAACACCTCTAGTATAGTAGCCCCAACTTTAGGGAAGTGTTCTTTATGATTCATTTTGCTCTGCCGCAACCTTACATTTTTATTTATGCTAAGAAACCTCAGTCACATATGGTTATGTGAAAGGTAAAGGTAAAGTCGAGTGATGTGAACCAGCATCATTGTGCACGGTTATACACCATAAGTGATCTGCCACCAGTACGGACAGCTGATAAGAAACTGTCCGCCTGTGTCGCCGTCCGCCGCACGCAACTCTGTAGCTACAGCGATGTTCCTCTGTTTCTGTGAAGTATACCGATAATGTAGGTTAACAACGTCTCTTCATCACTTATAATATCCATTTAAAACAGACAAGGTTGTTTGTTCTATCAACAGACTCTTTGAGTCCTTAACATAATGTCGGTTGGGTGTGGGGGATGTACTAGCAAAGAGCACGAGGATATGACACAGCAAGAACTGTGTGAAAATGTGTAAACAGCCGGGTAATATGACTAACATAAACAAACACCAAATTTATTAAATTCCGGACGACAGACAGTTGGGAAGTCGAGGTTACAAATGTATTATCCAAACCAGGTCCCGTAAGAAGTGACAGTTAATAATGGGAGATGCCCGTTGCTCTTGTTTTCCGGTACATGACAACTGACAGGTGTTGGCCAAAAATAACAACTCTGAGGGGTTGCCAAAAATAACAACTCTCAGGGGTTGCCAAAAATAACAACTGAAGGTGTCGCCAAAAAAAAAAAAAAAAGTTTCATTGATAAAAGCCAGAAAAATTACATCGTATCGCGCAGTTCTCAAATGTAGAATTAATTGTGTATTTAAAAGACAATTTACCGAATAGAATCCTCTTTACTGATTACGACACGAATCTTTGCTGTTTTATGCGCTACGCCCGACAGAAAAACAGTGGTGGAGGTAGGGTCGCTTTAGGACCATTATAACTATCTAGAGGGCTCAAAGGGCTTAAGCTTTGCTAAGTAGGCAACAATGATGATTAGGTACGACTCACGAAAGCCATCCCATCTCGTCGGTGGCAAGATTTTGGAGCGGTTAGCACGCTTTGTCCAATATTGCAGCGATGTTCTGCGATGGCTTCCTTGTTGTCTATACACAGTGTGCCGAAAAGTGGATCGGGTTCTTTTGACGAGGTCGACACACGGTCTCCCAGACAAAGCTGCGCAGCTTTCTTTTCGTAGCTCTATTTTCTGTTGTGATAATGTCTCACAACGCCAAAGGCGCCTGTGTGCAAGGATGAAAAACTGCCGGGGGAAGCGCCGAAAGCGAGACGGTTCATGAGTATCGAACTATTTATGTTTTTGCATTTTTACTGGAGAGGCAGGAAGGGTGGGAGGGGGGGGGGTTTGCTTAAAACGGCCAAAACGGAAAACACGTGCCACCCCTACAACATAGAAAAGATCTTTGGAACCGTTACGATGGGGCCGACAAGATGGGAGATTTCCTGAGTTGTGCCGATGATTATTGGCACGGTCCGTCAAACGTTTTTGTGTGTGTCCCAAACACACAGTGAGTGGTGGTTCATTCATGCTTCGTGACCTTTCACACGCGCTAGTCTAAGTTACAGGGGAGTCACGTTGTTTTTTTTTTCGATGCTATCACCGGTGATATCCCGTGTTATATTATACAATGTGACCGCTTTTAATGACACCAAAACAGCTAGAACTGACCCTAACCCCAACCACCCCACCACCACCAAGAGCCTCAGCATACGCCCCACGAGAATGCAGCCTACGTCTTTAGGTTTCAGAATTGTGAACATTTTGCCTCGGGCCCTTAAAAGCCGTCTTGCTGCAGAAAAGCAACACTGCTCTCCTTAACGCTCCTCAACACTCGCAGCTGAAGTAAATTCATGTCCTACTTGAAGTCCAAGAAAGCTATAATATACGCAATTTCCCCGGCCGCTCACACTAACCAGTACACGCGGCGCAATATACACTTTTTAGAAGATCTAATACAACGCAATGCTACATCCCTGAATGAATGGATGTGAATGAACAGCCAATTACGGTGTGTTAGGGGCAGAAAACGTTATTAGAACCATTATTACTATGTGCTAAGTAGTAAAACAAACATTATGTTCGAAATGATATGAAATATCATATATATATATATATATATATATATATATATATATATATATATATATATATAATATATATATATATATATATATAGCCTGCTACCTACAGCCAGTTTTAACGTATAGTTGTGAATCCTACACAATAATTGAACATACCAAGAATCAAGAGAGAGAGAGAGAGAGAGAGAGAGAGAGAGAGAGAGAGAGAGAGAGAGAGAGAGAGAGAGAGAGAGAGAGAGAGAGAGAGAGAGAGAGAGAGAGAGAGAGAGAGAGAGCAGGTCATTTGCAGAACGTCGCTCTCATCACGGTCTTTTGCCAGCTCTCCCCCCCCCCCTCGTGTACTTTCATATTCAAATAGTTGCTTACACCCTGTGCCAATCATTATGCTGGTTGGTCTCTGCCCCTACTTCCTGGTACCATGTTTTCCTCGATTTTTTTCCAGTCCCTCGTGGCAATTGATGTTGCCAACATATTTCGACTTTCGTGATAAGATGTTGTTTATTAGCCAATCTTCTTGGATATTCAGGCCTTTTAGAATGTCTCAATTTCTTCTCTACTTTGTCCAAAACTAACATTTGTTACCTCATTATAAGATCAAAAAACAAAAAATGAATAAGTAAATAAAAAGAAGAAGAAAAAATGTAACATACTGTAATAACAACTGGCAGATAAATTGAAACAGATGTAGCAGATGCTAGACTGCCTTCGTCGTGATATATACAGCTACCAGCTCATGGTTAAGTACATTTAGCTGTAGATGGGTAACTGTAGATACCCCCGAAGTACACATCAGCTGACAGCAAAGGGGCTAATGACACATATGGGGGCCTTACATTGTCTACACTATATAAATGTCTAATGATGATGATGATGATGATAATAATAATAATAATAATAATAATAATAATAATAATAATAATAATAATAATAATAATAATAATAATAATGTACTAAATAGTGAATAAATTTAACAACATACTTGAATAAAAAAAAGTATGAAATATATAAACGGATTCTTAACAAAATACTTCCATGCTTGGTTAGTTTGGGGGAGAGGTTATATAAAAGTTTTCAAGAGAGAGAACCTCGAGTAGCATAGCCACCCCATAATGATGGCGATGATGCTGATACAATAACAGAGTAATAACAAGAATTCATTTATTTATATCTGATATGTGTTGTGTGGAGCATAGGTGGTGTAATGTTGTGAATTCCTTGGGAAATCCCAGAGAGTTCCCGATAGGGAGGACAAGGTCGGAGGACCAGTGATACAAGAGGAAAACGAGATAAGCAGGTCTCGAGTACCCCGTGGTGAGTGAATAAGGGATAGGAGGAAAGCGTGAGACTATAACGGAAGACGTGAACCCTGAGAGACAGTTGAAGTTCAGACCTGGTTGTGTGCGGTCATATGTGCAAGAATACCTGATGAGAATGGAGAACTTATGACCACGAGAGCGGAGATGAATGTTTCCTGATTGCCAGTTTCACCATGTACTAATACCAGGTACATTACGTTAGTATGATACAGATGTATGATCCGAGAGATACGAGCGTCTCGAATCACCGTGTGAGAGAGTTGGCCAGGTCATCAGAAATCAGCCATGCATAGCAACCACGAGGACGAAAGAATGCGCTAAGTCAGTGAGATGTTTGTAACAGCAAATAAAGGTCAATAACTGAACGTTCCCTATCTAGTGTGTTCTAGCAACTATGTGTACTTCAAACAGCAATGTTGCAAGTAGAATCAAACCCCTAGCAGAGCACATTGTAGATGATAATTGTCTTTGTAGATTTCAATTGTTTCGTTAAACTGTTTTAACACATTTATATATTTTCAGAAACTTCATCAGTCAGCATGACCAAGTTCCTTAACTTCGCGCTGTCCCGTGCCGGTGTATATATTCTCATCCTGACACTAGTTCAACTCGTCGGAGTTACACATGCTGACCTTGAACGGGTTTGCGACTACCGAAGCCGAGCCCATCATGAAGGTTTTTGTGGCGCTAATTTAGACAACATGCTACATTTAGTTTGTTCAGGTTTGAATGTCAATGTCCCCTCCAAATTCATTGCCAAAAGACAGACAGATAATTGTAAGTATAATGTCAACCACGTTTAAAATGTTTTTGCTAACTTACCCAATCATTAAGGCATGGTTATTTTAATTTAGTTTTAAAAAAAAAAGTAAAGGACTCTTTTCCACGCCTTAAGGCGTATAGGGCATATAGGGCTAGACCTATATTTTTAAGACCAATCGGCACAAGATGGGTTATGTGGTCAGTATCACGCCGGCCGCCTTCACTTTCCAGGGACTGCACCCGGTACCCACTCAAGGCTGGGTCGACCTAGGAGCCAAAGTCATTTTTGAAGAAAGTCCGGCTCCGCCAGGAAGCGAACCCACGACCTTCCGATCTGCGGGCGAGCGTCTAGCCGCTCGGCAACGGCGACTCCCTTAATTTAGTTGCAACACTTATTATTAAATTATTAGTCAGGCATATTGTAACATATGCATATCTCTTTATCGAACCGAAATTCTGTCCTCCTAACGGCTTTCTGAGTTGTCGAAAGCGGTGGAAATAAGTTAAACCTAGGTCTGGCGAGTTCTAGGAATCTAATGCACACTGAAACACGAGGTCTTAGATGGTTTAAACCGATGCACGTGCAGTATGGGATCGAGTATTGTTATGGTGCATAAGGACACCAGCCTATCCTCCGTATAACGGGCACAAAGGATAGCGGCCAATGGCGGCCAAAAACAGGGCCTAAGTCACGTGTCAAGTGCGCACTTCCGGCGACCTAATTTGCAGTTTTCCGGCGACTGCCGCCACCGCCGAGGGTATCCGATACGCCGATCACGCGGCGTGGATTGGGGCTAAATTTGATGGCTAGGACTCACAAGCAAAGCTGCAGGATGCCGGAAGTGCGCAATTGAGGCTCTGTTAGGGTATTTTTGCGGCCGCCATCTTTTGTGCATATTATTCGGAGGATAGCCGGACACCCTTACTCATAATTTCACGCCGTGTGGATTTGATTGCAGGTCGAAGATGATTCATTAGATCGCTATTTTATAAGCCTCCCCCCCCCCCTTTCCAAGATTGCAGTCTTTAGAAACAACCTCTTAAGGAAAATAATCAAACAGGCACAAATCCCTAAAACCCTGTTCAGCCATGTAGACATATAGCACAGTTCTATTGGGACATCACAAAACGGTTACCAGGCAACCAGTAGTTCAGTGTGAGTGGGTAAAACGTGCCAATAAGAAGAAATGAAGTTCAACCTGACCAGGACCGCATAAGGAGCGATAAACACCCGGTGACTCAAAATGCCACCATTCGGATGAGAATCCGAGAATCGGCGAGAGTCCCAGAAACTCCATGCAACTATTAGTTTATATTAGGCCCCCAACAACAGCTGGAGTGGGGCTTTAACTCTTTGAGTTACACTAGGTTTAGCATCACAGGCCTAAGGTGCAGTGAGAGACATAAAGTCGGCGCATCATGCGTTAATTGGGCTTCTAAGTTGAAAAATATGAACGTATGATGCATTCCCTGGGACTCAAAGAGTTACAAATAACGAAACAAATGTTTTTGTCTCAAAGGCGACTAATATGACGTGCCAGTATGTTAAAGAGTGTTGTTTGGTGAATAAAACCGACGGAAGACATATTAGAGAAGTTAAATTAACATTTTACTTTTTCTATGCAATTCATATTTGTCAAATTAACAGAAAACTGAAATCTTTTAAGTTGCATAGTGTGATTATATCTCAAATTTAATATGAAAATATATTACAAGTATATTGTTACATTTGTCATTTTAACACAGTTATCAGTTTGGTGTAACTAAAACTTAAATTTTTAATTTTCTGAATTTCAAGGGATAACATTTGCATAATCAGCACTTTAATATTCACAGTTCAGAACATCAACCTGAGAAGTATTATGCTGAACAAAAAAGATGCCCTGTCCTACCTAGCCAAAAGAGAGAACCCTGGAAATATAGTATGTGAATGTTGCTACAATCCATGTACCATCTACGAGCTCTCTCAGTACTGTGACTTGCCAAGCCACGTGACAAACAGATTTCGGATCAGTCAAGCAACAGCGCTCGCAAATTAAAATTCACTTGTAGAACAGTCAATAGCAATATCTGGATCCTGAATCAACTGACCTTCTTTTAAACCTACCTACCATTAAACTTATTCAAAAAGTTGCCAGTTTTCAAAAGTGTATTTTCCTTATCATATCATATGTACGTTAAGTATTTCTGTATTCTCTGTTTGCTATTCAGAACTTCTATTATTTTTATTATTATTATTATTATTATTCCAGGAGAAAATTAGGAGACACCTTATTCATATACTGTGGTATTCGATACTCTTACCCTCTGGCCTCGCAGCATATGCCTCCATTCCGCTCTGTTCTGTGCAATCCTTTCAACATATTTAAAAAAATGATAAAATCCGTTGATCCCTTGTATAAATACTGGGCTTAAGGGTCACCCTCCCCCCCCCCCCCAGGGTCCTCCTTACCTTAGTAAGTTCAGTAAGCAATAACAAACTACTGAACATAAAATTTGCCCAGAAAAACTACAACAGCCAAATAAATGCTAGGTTATTTTAAAACGTCATGTAAAGGATACGCAACTAACTTTAAAAAAATTAGCGTCTATAGTCTGTCTGTCTGTCTGTCTGTCTGTCTGTCTGTCTGTCTGTCTGTCTGTCTGTCTGTCTGTCTGTCTGTCTGTCTGTCTGTCTGTCTGTCTGTCTGTCTGTCTGTCTGTCTGTCTGTCTGTCTGTCTGTATGTATGTATGGATTTGTTCATGCCTGTTGTGAATTTGGACCAACAATCAGCCAACAGAAGACAAAGATTTTGGCATATGGTGCTTAAGATAGGCCAGCGGTCAACACTCATGGTAAAGAGCTGTCGACAGTTGCCCATTTTACAAATTCGGAATCTACGGTGTAGATCACTAGACCAAAAAGTCAATATCAGGACATACACACACACACACACACACACACACACACACACACACATATATATATATATATATATATATATATATATATATATATATATATATATATATATATATATATATATACAGAGTAGATAATAATGGACTACAAGACAAGAAAACAACAAAGAAATAAAAGAAAACAACCAAGAAAGACAAAAAAATCGACCAAGAAAAACAAGAAAACGACCAAGAAAAACAATAAATTGACCCCCAAAAAAAGAAAAAAGAAAATGAACCTATGAAAAGTAAGGAATCTAACTAACTCACTTACAGTGTAAAATTATATAACTATTCAACTATTCCATGTCTTCCTTACAAGCACGCAGTTAACCCCAATTTTATCATCCTAAAGAGCGAGTGCAGATCAATTTATAAATTATAAATAAATAATTATCTTCACCCCGTTTTTTAACTCACCAAGCAATTCTTCAACCCTTTCAATCAATCAATCAGGTGCCGTCTCCACAATGAAGGTTGGCTGTAATGGATCTCCAACAAGCCCTGTCTCCTGTCTTTGATGTACACTCACTCATACTGCTGTTCGTCCATCTCTTGATGTTGTCCTCCCACTTGTAACGTTGTCTGCCTTTTGCTCGACTACCTTGAACCTTTCCCTCTAGGATGATCTTTACAAAACTGTTATGTCTTTTAATGTGGCCAAAATATTTCACTTGTCTCTTTTTTATTTCCCCTAGCAACTCTCTTTTCATTCCCAATTTCCTCAGTACCTCTGTATTTGATAGCTTTTGTTTCCATGAAATACGACCTAATCTTCTGTATATCCACATATCCAAAGAATTGATACGATTTTCCAGTTGTTTGTTCATTGTCCATGTCTCTGTGCCATACAGTAAGGTTGAGAATACATAACATTTGACAATTCTCATTTTTAAAGTATTGCTTATTTCTCTTGATGTCAGTAACTTTTGCATGTAGTTCAAAATGTTTTTGGCCATCCATATTCTTTTCTTGACTTCAACCCATTATCATCCATGAAAAACCAATCGGTATAAATACTCTCCCCCCCCTTTCTCTCTCTCTCTCTCTCTCTCTCTCTCTCTCTCTCTCTCTCTCTCTCTCTCTCTCTCTCTCTCCCTCTCACCAGCCATAAACAACAGTTGAAGATTGATTGATTGATTGGTTAATTGATTTGATTCAAGAACCGACATCACAGCACTCGGGGCATTCCCATAAGAGCTACGTCCCCATCTTCAGCAGCCAGCGAAGAGTTCCGATACTAATGGTGCCATTAGCATTTTGCTTAAACGTCCGTCTTGCCTTTTCTCTTAGCTTCGAGCATCTGCCAGAACCTCTCGTAAATCCCAACTGCACTGTGGTGATCAATCTGCTCCTCCGAACTGTACAAGCTCTCCCACAAGGCACTAATCACGTCTGCCTTATCGCGCATCAGTATTCCACCAAGCTTTGCAGAGCCAGCAAGTCTGTCCGTCTGTTCATTTCCCAACACTCGCCATGACCTGTTGAAAAAATCCAGACAATACTCCTCCCCCGTGTCCTCCGCAGCGAGGCATGCCACTCTGCACGAAGCATGACTGTCCTGATCTTCCTCAGCGTGCTTTCTGAGTCAGTTACAATCACGATGTGTGTGTGTGTGTGTCGTGTTCTCTAGCCAGCAGAAAGCTGCAGTGACCGTCCACCTCCATTCTTAAGCTGGATGTTGTGGTATCATATGCTAGGCTCTCCTGCACCAAACGTCGACCATTAACTTTTGCTTAAAAAAAACTAAACACTTGTTTTTCCTCTTGAACTCACTAGAAGAAAAAAGAACTACTCGTCAACACATCTAACGGACAAACAACGAGGTCGCATAATTTGAGACACTTAGATTTTCTGGGCTTATTACCGTCCTAGCAAGTATATCGTGAAAGCCAACTAATTTTTAAAAGGTAGCCTAGCTGTATACAACATCCAAGACCTTTTTAAAAACAAAAAGAAAATCGTTTCATCTTTGTCTGTGACAATACCGCCGCCAAAGGAACTCACCACCCCAACTCCCCCTCCAGCTCACAACTTAAGAGACACTCACCTAGCCTCCAGGTACATATGCGTCCCTTCATCGCTCTCCTCAACTCACCCATTGTTCTCCTGACACCTAAATAAACAATAGCACACCTCATTTCTCAAAGCTCTCAATACTGAACAACTAAATATACATCTTCTTCTTCTTCTGTTTTCGGTTTTGTATGATCAGTTCAGACCATCAGGTGGGCTGCCTCTATGAACTCGTATGTCAGCTGCAGGTCCTGCATGGTTTCCTACAGCTTGCTTTGCACACTGTGATCTTCAGGCCGGAGTTCTTTTCGAAGTTGTAGGTAGAGTGGGCACGTCTGGAGCATGTGCTCATGTTATTGTGGTCCTCTCTGACATGCACATTGTGAGGACTACAGTCTTTATTTTATGTATGTGGTAGTTGAACCTGTAGTGTTCTGTTCTTAGACGGAAAATTGCTGTATGTTGCTTTATCTTAAGTTTGCTGATGGGGTCTTGTTAATTTTTACTGTTGTGTGTGTTTTTCTCTCCACAATTCCTTGTATTTTCCCTTGAAAAGTGTTTTTATGTCTTGCAATGACAATGAATGGGCATGTTCTCCTTTGTTACATTTTCTGCATGTCTGTCTGCTAACTCATTTCCTGGTATACTGTAGTGAGCCGAAATCCAATGGAGAACGATATGGATGTTTTCTGAGTCTGTTTTGCTGCTTCTTTTGGCACAGAACAGTTTTGACAGATGGCGAAAGCTTTGTCTTTTCAGTCGGGTTTAAGTGAAGTTGTTTGCTATTCTGTGCATGGGTTTGTTGTTTATGCGTTCAACTTTTTCTGCTATGGTATACACCTTTTCTTGCCTTTGATGACTCAAGTTCTAGAGGCCAGAGGTTGCCTCCAGTTCATTGACTAGTGTGCTTGGGATACCTCCAGTGATGATTCAGAGACCAGTGTTCTGTATTTTGTCCAGCTTCTTTAGATTTGATTTGGCTGCAGTGGATTTTGCCCCCTTGCCATACTCCAGTTTTAGTCGTACGTTTCCTGTGTATACTTGTACTGTGTTAGCTTCTGCATCCCAGCTTGTTTCAGTAAGTTTCTTCATAAGTCTGAGCTGCAGGGTAGCTTTCCTTTGGGTGTCTTCAATATGGAGGGTCCCAGGTTAGCCTTTTGTCGAATTTTATTTCCAAATATGTGGAGTTATCCTCTTTTGGGAGGATGTTGTTTTCTAGGTAGTGATAAGCACTTTCTAGCTTTATGCAAAAAGAAATAGGAGTCGAGACAGATTTTGTCTGGTTTTTTGTGACTCCCCAAAAGTCTGCCCATTTCTTAACTGGATGTATAGCTTCCTGCATTCTTGTTTTAGTTCTTGCTATATGTTTAACTTGGGTCCATATGGTCAGGGGTTCTACATGTAGGGCCTTCTGAATGTGAGTCGTGAACTGTTTTGGGAGGTTATTGATCAAAAGAATAGACAGAGTAGGAGATATACCATCTCCTTGAGGGACATCTTCTTGTAATCTGACCAGGCTGCTCTTGTGCTCTGCCAGTCTTTGAGTCGGGTGCAGCATTTGTCAAGAAAGTCTCTTATTCAGGCAAACATATGCCCTTTTATCCCACTGTCTGCTAGTTTTAGCAAGAGTTCTTTCTTCCAAACCTTGTCAAAGGCTTCGGTTAGGCCGAAGAAAGTAGCTCGCAGTTTGTATTTTTTTTCTTTCTGGAAAGCATCGTCAATTTCCTGTGCGAGATAAGAGGTATGGTCATCAATGCTTTTGTATTTCCTGATGCTTGATAAGCTGTCACCCAGTACAGTGTTTTCTTCCAGGAAATCGGGTAACCTGTTGTTCACTAATCTTTCCATGGTCTTTCTAAGGCAGCTTAGGAAGCTTATGGGGCGGTAACTGAATCCTTTGATTTTCATTTCCTGGCGATGGAGACTATTTCTGCCTCCTTCCATTCCTTTGGAAGTAATCCTTGGGTCCAAGATTGACTGATAAGGTCTAAGAGTCGTTGCCTAGTAGCTGGTCCCAAGTGTAATGTTATTTCATTTGTTTTTCGATAGGGCACGGGTGCCTTCCTTTTCTTTAGTATTTTT